CTTGGTGGGTAAGCCAGCCAGACGATTCAAGACGAGGATGTCGCTGTCGTGGTAAGCGATGTAGTCGAAGTCCAAGTTGAATTGGACACTCGGAACATGAAAATGTGACCGCATCGTAGCCTTCAGAGGACCACACCAGCGGTGCTGATTGGTGACCAAGCTACATTTGCTCAAGCTCTCGATACGCAACTGGGATGGACTACGGCGGGACGTAGATACCAGACCGAGAGAGCCTCCATTGGAAAGCAGCCTAGGATGCCAGGCCTCTTCTCCAGAGCGCATGGTGTATATGCCATCGACAGGCTCCTCCTCTTGCTGGCCGGTCCAATCGGGCATAAATGGGGGCGTTTGCCATGCCAGAGTGAGGCGCAAGTACCTTTGACACAGATCCCTCCACGTCCGTAGGTGAGAGAAATATCCCGTCGCGCTAGATATGTTCGAGTCCAGGTCGTCTTGCTTGCGAGAAGTCGGCGCCTGACGCGCAAAGTGAGGTAGGAGATGATGCAATTGCCATTGCAGAGCCACGCTACGCCATAGACTCTCTGAGCTGTAAATCCACACGTCCCACCTGCGACACACTCGCCTGCTGCGCAGAACCGTCCTCGCATCCACCTGCGTCATGATCATGCAAAACGCCTCCTCTGGCAAGCGTTGCAAGGCATCGAGCATCTTGAGGGAAGGGGCAGAGGCTTTCGTATTCTCATCCCTTCATTTCTTTCCGACTGCCGGATACGACCAACTGACAAGCCGCTCGAGTGTGGGCTTCATCCGGTCAGTGGCCCTCTGTCGAACCACAACCCAGAGCTTTGGCCGAGTGATAATGTGCAGACGTGCCAACAGGAGAGGGTGAACAGCCTGACACCCGCAGGTCCCCCCACTGACCTGGGGTGCGCAATCGGCGATAAAGTAGGGTCGAGTAGCAATCGTCAATCGCCGATCTGAATGCCAGGTAGCGATGATGCTGTCGGGTAGAGTAACGAGCGAGCCCACGACACGTGCGTGTATATGTACCGGTATGTATATTTTGATCCGTGATTCAGATTTGATTCAATTGTTGGGCCACCAGCTTGACCATCGTCCGTGCACATGCAGCTGCATCTTCTGGGCGAGCATACATAGATCACGTGATCCAGGATTAATCCCAGGTTCGCACGTCATCAAACGCCTCGAGACCGGGCTCCACGGTATGAGCTAAGTCTCATCAAGTTCAAAGTAGGCGCCTCTTTCTATTAATGATTATGATATGTTTCAACGAATTGCCAAATGGTCAATGAATGCACTTTGCTTGCGCCTGCCGGTCGAGTGCATGCATGAGCTGCAAGCAAGGCGTCGGCGGGGTCTCATTCGGTTTGGCTCGCGCACTGGCGCGTAGAAGAGGGATGAGATGGTGAGGCCGACACGGCTTCACTGATTTGATCATTTGTCCAAGCAGTCCGCTTACTATGTTCGATTGGGTGACTTGCAGCAAAGCAGCTTGAAGAGAAAGGTGTCGGGCGCATCGCGAGCGACCTGCCAGTCGTGAGAGCGCTATGTCTTTCCCTGGCCCAAGACAATGGGATGAAAGAGCGTCGCTTCGTGTTGCCTGCGCCCGGACGGGCGAGTCTTGATCCATCAATGCTTGATGGCGCCGAGCACTTACGCACGCAGAGTGGGTCCACTTGCGTCCAGATTCTCGCTCCGGTCAATTCTCCGCTTGCTTGGCGCTTTTATCAGGGCAAGGAGAAACTTGACTCTTTCCTCTTTGCGTTGAGATTGGCGGCCACCCCGTAGTCCAAAAAATGCAGGCCGCTAGCCTTTCGCAGAGTGTAAACTGTGCTTGCATCGATTGCCATATCCACCAGTCGATCCTTCAGTCCATTGACAGTGGTGCACACTTGCTGCTCGAGGTGCCAGCACTCGACGTTCTCGAAGGGGTGATTCGTGGGCCGCCAGGCTGGATCTAACCTGTACTTGTTCAAATCCATCAGAAGAAGATCTGTGACTCTTCCAGGGCCGGTCATTCCTGGAAAAAAGCGTTTGGCGCTTTGCAGAATACGTCCATCTGATATGGTCATCCTGTCCATAGACACGTAAGTCGAGAGTCCTCCTGGGCAGCATCGATCGGGAATGACATAATGGAGCAGACCCACATGAACCAAGTGGCGCTCGTTCTCTTTTCCGAGTTTCGAGTAGGGTCGAACCAACATCACCCCCCATCGATACGAAATTGCGGCAGTGTCGGTCCTAGTGTCTAAGCGGACCTGCAAAGGACTTCTAATCTGATCTTCAGCCCTGCTGTCCACATTATGCTGGACGGTGTCAGGCAGACAGGTCAGTACCCAGACATGGAGTCCTGCGCACAGACACTCACCATCCACTGACGAACGTGAGACAATAAAGTGCTGGAGAGAATCACATGCAGTCCAAAATCTGGCTTAGCAATGTTACATAGCCATCACACATTGTTTGCAGACCGCGTATCTTGGTGACGCTCACCTGCCGTCGCCTTCGCCCGGTTTCAGACCGGCTTGCTGGACGGTGCACCATCTGACGGCTAGAGGGTGGGAGCATGTTCTGTGAAACGTGCTGTGTATGAACGCTGTGCCAATGTGGATCTGAGCCCCGCTCAAGGTTGGGCCGAAACGTGGCGTGGGCGTACGCATGTATGCCAAATCAGCAAAGTCCCATGGCTGGCTTGATAGGTCTAAGATGGCGCTGCCGTCCACTAGATTGTACGCCACTACTCCTGCTGATGCGATGAAGATGACTCCACAGTTGCTGTCGAGGTCTACTTCGTTGATTGAAGTCCATCGGGACTCGCAGAGCGAGGCCTTGATTTGGCGCGTGCAGATATCCCAGACCACAACGTACCACTCAAAACCGTCTGGGTCCACGTTTCGTTGCATCACTGCTGCACAAAGGGGATAGCGCAGACGCAGGTGTAGTACCAGCTCACCAGTATGCTTTGGCGGCAGCTCCGAGAAGGTCCTGGGCCAATCACTTTCGATCGAGATGCTGGTGCTGTATTGCTCATCATCGCCGCTCCTGCTTGCCGAGATGATGCATTTTGCGTGCCATTCGTGTTTGTCTCCATAAGCCGATGGAACATCGTCGTGGTAGTGCGTCATGTTCTGGACAGCTGCGTGCGTGCGTCGAGGCGAGCGAATGAGACTGCGCGTCCTGACTTTCCGCAATGTGTGCATATTCAACTCGTCGTCATCTCTGGAAGTCAGTCCAAGCGCGGAGCCCATGAGCACGAGACGTGGCTCCCAGTCCGATCTGCCCAGTGAGACGCTCCCATGAACGAACCATCCCTCTTCGTCTGATTGAGGATCGTCGGCAGTATGAAGATTTCTCCAAGCAAGCGTCAAATCGAGGTACCTCCGGCAGAGCTCTTTCGCATTTGGGCAGCTGAAAAAGTATCCTGTGGAGCTTGAGATGGCGAAGTCCTCTTCGTCGTACTCGTGATGCTTGTCAGCGTCGCTGTTGGGATTGGGATCAGGCCACGTCTTCAAGGGACAAGCGGATGCGAGCTCTTGCCGTCCCCACTGGATAGCGACACTTCTCCAGATAGGATCTGAGCCGTCTATCAACTCTTTCCATCTTCTACAGACGCGTCTACTGCGGAAAACAGTTTTGGCATCTACATGCGCTAGCATCAGCGAGAATGTCTCTACCGGGAGACGTGGTGGAAGATGACTGGCCATGTTCGCCGATGAAGCTGCAGCCAAGGGGACGTCTTGCTCGGCTCTCCTGAGCCCCCCTGTTCAGAAAGGCTGTGTAGTGTGCGGTGCGCAGACGACTCCATCATAGTCGTCCTGGCAGACTTGCCGCGCCATCTATGCCAGATCGGGATGCAGCGATTCGAAGTCCCTAAGGCAAGGTCAGTTGGTCACAAAATGTGCTGGGCGTGGGATGTTGAGTCCGTCGAGAGCACATAAGTCTTGTGAGAGGATTGCCTTGTCAGGCTGACAATGGTGTGTGTATGTGAAGGAGAGGACGGAGGCAAGCAGCTTTAGCAGTCGTGAATGTGATCAAAGATAAACAAACAGCCATCCCTTCCTGCTGCACATAAGCTCGCACTCGCGTCACACACTCATCAAACTCAAGACCCACAGCACTCTGACTCGCGACTCAGTTGCACCAGTTTGAAATCACAATCAAACTTATAATCAAGAATTGAATCAAAGATTTGCATCTGACTTGACAATAAAAAAACCCAGACTCGCGTGGATTAGCCTCCGCAAATCAACGGAGCAAGAGCCCGACGCGTTTGACGCGTCGCGGCGCGCCTCCAGCTTGCATTGACTCGTGCACAGCCACACTCGCGCGCCACGCATGCTCTACCGCGCGGTAGGATGCATGCCAGCCCCAGCAGAAGGATTCACGGCGCCTTCATTTTGAAGCAGACCCGGGACGAACGTGATGAACAGACCGCAACCTTCTGTAACATCACCACGTCCCTCGAGAATCGAATCGCCAGGTCGCTATTGGTCCTGCGGAGCTTTGGCGCTGCATGCCGTGCGTCTCACCGCGCATACAGGCTGGTCGATCGATTTCAGGACGACGTCACCGGATCACAGGGCCCTTCCACAGCGTGCACACCAGCTGGGATCAACAGTGCCCAGTTGGGACTTCACACTTGGCTTCCTGATGCTATAGAAGGAACTTCACCGATGAGTACTGCCTGCCAGCAAGAGCCCGGCTCGGGCGTGGTTGCCATCGCTGCGCAAGGAAGCAGCTTTCACCATCTAGCAGAGGAGACGCTCTCTGGCATTCTAGTTGATGTAGATCCCAAAACCATCCTGCGCAGTAGACGCGTTTGTGGGAGGTGGAGAGAATGGATCGACAGGTCAGAGCTGGTTTGGCGGAGCATAGCATTATCATGGGGTCTTATAGACCATCTTGCTGCGCCTCTTTGTGGTCAACCTCAGCTAAGCGTGTACGAAGCCCAAGCGTTGTCGAGCGCAATGTCCTATTTTGAAGGCATCAAGTCTTTCAAGACACTCTGTTGCAGATATTTGACGCTCACATTGACATGGCATACGCCGGCCGTGTTTCAAAAGCTAGCAAGCAAAGGCGAAGACCTTCAGGAACACATGCCGTGCGGTCGAATGATTTTGAAAGGATACGAAGAAGGCAATGAGCATCTCATGCTTGTCGGCGAGCCGCCGAGCGTCCGCCTAATCGCACGTGTCCCTGGAGCAGACAGGGTCAATACCGACACGCGCAGCCCGCAAAAATTCGCAGAACGTGGACATCAGTGGCTCAACGATTTTGACGGGCTAGAAGGCAACCTCCATCCGACGATTCCAATGCAAGCGCTAGACATCTTCTCCTTCGACGTTGAGTGGGCAATAGTGGCTCGCGTAGACGCTGGCCTGGAGACGTGCATCGAGGTCTGGAATTTACATCGCCATAAGCCAGGGCTCAGCTGGTACCAGGCCTCTTGGGTCAAGAGCTTCAATTTGTGTCTTCCCGAAGATGCAGGACTTCCTCGCGCTGTCCGCTTGCGCTACCCTATCTGCATTGCAGCGCTACAATACTCAGACGATAGGGGGCTGTGTCAGATAGTTGTCTTGGACATCACCTCTCGGCGTACATTGTCTAGCTTTGACCTTGAAACCAATTCAACTTCGATCATTGATCTGGACTTCGATGCAAATGCTCAGCTCATCTTCATTTCTGAG